CAACAACCAGAAGGAAAGTATGATCGACTGTGCAACATCAAGAAACATTATGATCCGTTGGGCGTGTTCACTCCAAACAGATTTTGCATCTGCCTCCCGCCTCTGGAAATACAACCTTCGGAGACCGCAAAGAGAGAAGTTGGCGCTATGGAACTTGAGGAAGGTGATTCTGCAGACAAATTTTGGAGAATGGTGAAGATAAAGAGAGAGGTCGGCAAGCCTGTTCCTCTGTGGGATATCTGGCGCGCTTAAAACGAGAAGGAAACAAAACTGAATGTGTTCATGGTAGCTTTACCATGTCCAATCGGATATAATGCATAATTAATTTTAGGACAGTTAGCTCTAACACAATAGTTTAGAAAATTCGACTTCATTTACATCTCTGTGTTTTGTATAACAAATTAAAATTGCCTTTAATATATATTAATAAAACCAAAGAACGCTCTTCTGTCATGAATATTATTTATTTTGTATTAGATTATGGAGTTAGTTTGGTTTACATCAGTTTATAGTTTTTTTTTTTTATCTCTTTAATATTTTCTAAAAAAATAATAGTTTCGTCTATATATTGGGATTAATATAAAATTTATCATAATTTTCTTTTTGAGTTTAATGTTTATATACAAATACATTTAAAAATTAATCAAAACCATATTTATTATTTTTTCTGATAATTACTTGAACAAAATTTATACTAAAAGCAAATTAAAGATAAAAGGTCTTTAGAAGTTACTTTTGGTCTTAATATTTATAAAGGAAAGAATTATTATTAATAACTAGGCGCTCGAGTTGTTTAAAGGGTACTATATTGTATATACCAGCGCAATGGCCTCATGCTGTGATTGTGCTTCAGGGTTGCGATAGCGATGCAAGAACCTCATGCTGTAATTAGGCTCAATGACTGCAACAGGCAATGCAAAAATTATATTTGGTGATTGAGCTTCGCAATTATCCCTTAAACCGTTTCAAATTCAGGGCAAATTTGCCCTGAATTTGATTACAAAAATGCTTCTGATTTATTTTTTTTAAAAAATTTATATATTTTAACAAAAATTTTTTTAATAATGTTTAAAAATAAGAATTATATTTTTGTAACATTTCTAGCTTCAATTTATTAGATAAAAAATTTAGATTATATATAGGTTTAAAACATACAAATTTAAAAAAAATTAATTAAAAAAAATAATTTACAATTTCTTAATATTTTTTTAAATATTAACTTTAGATCTAGTATTTTTAAAATAATATTGTAAATTATATTAAAATATGATAATTGTTATTAAATTGACGCACGTCTTAATTTAGCATCTTTGAAAAAATAAATATAGAATAGATCTGCACACATTTATCCCTTAATCCGTATTCGGGGCAAATTTGCCCCGATTTTCAGATTCCCGGCAGATATCGCACGCTACCATTAAAATTTACTAAATGTACCCCCCC